CTGCAATTGAATTGTACTTTTTTGTGCTGCTGCTGCGTGGCTTTAATTTGCACTTGGGAAACAGAATATACTGAGGTTTGTTTGGGTGGGGTTTTTTTTTGGCTTTTTTTTTTTTAATAGAGCTAGCGTGACAATTGTGTGGAGGCTGAACAGAGCAATATAAGAGGTAACTGAATGACTGCTCCAGAAGGTTGGCTGTTTTGTGCTGAAGTGAAATGTTCTTGGAGTTTCATGCAAATTCTTAAAGCAGTATTGATTGTGTAGAAATCGCTAACATACTTGGTACTGATCTTTGCCAAATATCCTGAGGTGGTCTGGTCATGTTAGAATCTTCTCATTCTGTTTTTTTACATACTTAATAAATTGTAGTAGTCATTACTGCAGTGCCTTTTTTGATCAGAGGTGGATAAAGTGTTGTCTTATCTGTCTTCCTTTAAAAAACATTTTTATGAATAATCTTTGAATTATAAAATCTCTCAGGCAATTTAAGGATTTTAAATATCCAGAAATTTAAATTCTGAGTGCCTTGAAAAATCAGAAATCCATGTGTTCTGTAGAAATGTACTTAAATATTTCTGTACCAGCTCTGTAATGCTTAGTACTGAGCACTTCAACAAAATATTTGAATAGCCATGAAATTCAGAGTCCTGTGATGTTGTCAGAGCTAGTATGTACATGTTTTCTCTATATATAAAGTTTGCCCATCTAGCTATGACTTTATTATAGCATAAGTGGATGATCCTGTTAAGTTTTTCACAGCTGGGATGATAATATTTGAGCTGCTAAACGACATTATTTCTTTGTCTATGCATGAGTTTTCATAATTTCTAGCAATACTTGTAAATGCTTTTTTGCAAGTCCTAGGACTCTATTCCATTTTAAGTATAGCTTTGTGAAGTTTGGGAGTCTGGGATCTTGGAGGCAAACGGCGAAAGGATGTTGTTAGGGAGTAATGTAAGTTAAAGTTTTAAGGAGATTGGTAGGACTTTTCCACTCAGGGTTTCTTCCCTGTCCCTTCCTTTCCTGCGGGGTATGCATATAAACCTTGCCTCCTGTTGCACTCTGCATGCCAGCATCCGTAGAAGACTGAGTCCTAATATATGTTTGCACTGCTTAGTATGGAGATCTGAGCTGGGGTATTCCTAGAGTAGGTAGGAAGAAGCTGTGAGAGCTTGTGCTTTGCTCAGCAAAGCTAGACCCAGTGTATCGGTAAGGATTACTTGTCTGTACGTCTGCTAATATAATCATCTGGCTTTGCACCTCTCTTAGAGCAGAGACAAGAATAAGATGGCTGCTCACCATGTGTAGTAATATTTTGCTACCTTGCCTGCACCATCTGTGTGAACAGATCTAAGAGACTCACAGGAATTCAGATCTTTATAAACCTGGAAGTGAAGAGTTAGTGTATTACATGTCACAGTACGATGAGGTGGAGCAGGAGGCCGCTGTAGGAGCCAGGGTGTCACAGTTTGATAGCAAGGAAGTGCAGCTAAAGAGGAAAAGTAAAAGCAGGGAGTGGAAGATCAGGTAGGTTGGATAACGCCGAGGCACAGGGCCATCATTAGGAGACGGGCTGTTTAATAAGTGAGAGTTTCAAGGGGTTAATGGCTAACTGAACAGGAAGATCTGTGTGAGCTGGAAATTGGGTATGGGAAGAGGAGAAAGCGAATAAATGGTGCAGGAGGTGGTGGAAGAGAAATGTCCTAATGAACATGGTTTTTTGGATAACTTACTCTTTAAGCAGAAAGAGGATCTTAGTCTTAGCTCTATGCTTTGCCATACCTGAGTGGAAAGTCTGAGCTTACAAAGTTAATATGGTAACAAGTTTCTGTTATGAGCTTTGTTCTCGTTTCCCTTTATGCTTGTCTAGCAAAACTAGTTTTTACCTGAAAATTTCTAGGTCAGCTCTGACAAAAAATGCTTTTGTGCTGTGTTTGTGTAAACAAACATGACAGTTGTAAACATTCTTTTGATCTCTGAATCAATGTAGATTTAAAATCTTGTCTTGTGAGCTATTCATAGGTTAAAGTGCTATTTTAGTGTGATTGCTGTCAGATAAAAATAATTCTCTGCCTTGTAAGACTTTTTTCCTCTGCTGCTTAGCAGCTTTAATGAAATAAGTATTTCTTTGAGTTAGGATGTTTATAAAATTGTAAAAGACTTGTAAGATGACAGATAAAGTAAAAGTATTAGGTGGTGTATTTGTGAGAAAACTAGTGCTGCTTATAAATAGTGGAATGACTTGCATCTATAAATAGTGATCTTTGATCTTCAATTCAAGTGTTTTGAGACTGTTAAATATTTGGAATAACAGTGAGAACAGTGTTAAAAGGTCAAATAAATTCCCAGTCTTGTTCCATAACCTCTAATGAGTAATGGCCAGGTCACGGTCAAGGAGTATTTTCAAGTTATGTTGTATGCCATTTGAAGTAGGTGTCAAGAAGCTGTTTGCAATGTTGCAGATAAAAGTCTGCTTTTACTCATTTTCAGTTACACCAGGAAGTTTGAGTTAATTTAAAGAATGATTTAGTTAGACTGTTGTCTGACATCTTCAGTTGTCTTGTGGTCTTTGCAGTAAATGCCAAAACCAGTCAGTCCATCTAACTGAACTATTTGGAAAGATCAGTTTAATGGATTGAAAAATGTTCAGGATGACACCAACTGTTCTAAAATATCTCCTTCCACACTGTGTTAATAGCAGTATAATCTCTGTGTACTGAAATTTGATGTTCCTTCTCTAGTGGATCACCTGCAAACTCTAAGCCTGGAGGGGAAAAAATAAAGAGGGGTGTGGGGTGGTGTTGAGGCAGTATGCATTGTTACGACTTTAATGTCATCTAACCCACTAGGGCAAGCTGCGCCATTTATGAAGATCATAATCTTTTTGAGTTGCCTTTCAGGATCACTTGATTAAAAACTGTTGGGTGGTTGTGCAGTCTCCATCCTAGGAGGTTTTCAAGACTTGCTTGAGTAGAACCCTGACCAACTTGATCTGGCTTCATAGCTGAACCTGCTTACAGCAGGAGGTTAGAATAGAGATCTCCTGTAGGCCCTTCCAACCTTAATTATCCTATGATCCTGTATTTCTCTGCAGCCCACAGCCTGTGGCCTTATATGTTGAATAGCTGCTAGAGCAGAGGAGTTTACATCCACTAATTGCTGCCAAGATTGGTGTAGTTTACATCACTTCATTGAAAAATACTAATTTAAAAAGAAATTCAGTTTTCATTACTAAACAAAGGGGGGAAAAATTAGCACTGTAATTGTTTGCATAACAATGTAATGCTTTTTGTGAGTAGAAGAAAGTGTGTATCATGCACAGCAATAAGTTTGTGCACTAGATTTTTTGTTCGCATAAGTGTTGGTCTGATTTCAAAACTTATTATGGAAAGAGGCTATTTGATTGGAAATAGATTGTAGGAGTCATCTCCCCACCCCCATCAAGCAAATGCTGCACCTTATCTTGCATGGTTTTCGGCAAAGAAATGTCTGGTGCCAACCAAAATATTAATTTATAGAATGTCTGACTTGTGAGAGTAGAAGGATGGTTAGATAACTTCTCAATTCCCTTTCCAACCTTATATTTATGGTCTTTTAAATAAGTATCTGTGATGTGTTTCAGTAATTACTTTCTAGAGATTCAGAGCGTTTGTAGACTTTTCAGAAGTATTGTTCATCTATGTAATACAGCACTTGAAAATAGGTAAGTGCTAAATGGAAGCAAGTATTATCATGTTCCTGGAAATCTGTATTTAATGACATGCGTTAGTTAGGGACTGGTTTGTAAGTTTACTGGACTTCAGGTGTATGCATCTTGTAATACATTTGCAGCTTTTATTTGTGAGTAGAATAAAACTGAATTGTTCTAGGTTTAAGCTAGTCTTTGTTAATGGTTAAGATAAATTTTAGGCAAGGGAGTGCTCTCT